AATATATGCAAAATCGTTGGAATTTTAATGGCTTACGCAAGGACAAGGATTAAAAACTAGACTATAATAAATTCAAATTCACTTGTCGGAGACTTTGCCTTGGCAGTTATAACCATTCTTTTCCTTGTATAATATTTTATATGCAAAGGTCATTGGTTGGGGTATTTTTTTTTGCAGGTAGCTGTTACTTAATATATGCGGCTAGTTATGTAAGTTAATTGGAATATATTGAATTTTTGTGCAGGTAAAAGTCAGGCTAGGTGATTGGAGTACAATTAAGTCTCAGGCAGCAAAATGAAAGCACCACAACTTTAACAATTTAAAAAAATCGAGTAGGCCATTTGTAGCGTTTTCTTTGAACCATCAAGGAAAGGGACAGCTGGAATAGACAAAAGTCGAGACAAAATTAATAGTTTTTTTATTCTCGGCTCTTGAATTGAAAAACTAAAGAAAACAGGGAGGAGCTCCAAGAGCCTAGAATAAACAAATAATTGAGACAAAAAAGATAAAGTTCTACATCGAAAAGAAAACACCTTTACTTTGACATTTCAAGTAGTTAGGCAATTATAGCGTTTTCGTTAAGTTGCACCTTCTCTCATGTGGGTATTTTATAGTGCAAAGTGCAACAAAAATAGAGCCAGTTAGAGTAAATTTACTCCACACTTTTCAAATAAGTCTCGGGCAGCAAAATGAAAGCACCTCATCTCTGACAGTTTGAAAAAATCTAGTAGGCCATTTGTAGCGCTTTCTTTGAACCATCAGGGACAGAAAGAGCTTATGAATTTTTGAATTTTTCAGCTTAAGAGCTTGGAATAGACAGAAGTCGAGACAAAATTAACAGTTTGCTTATTCCCGGCTCTTGAATTGAAAAACCGAAGAAAGAAGGAAAGAGCTCAAGAGCCTGGAATGCAAAAAATTATTAGGTTCTACATCGAAAGACAACCCCTGAACTTTAACATTTTAAGTAGTCATGTCAATTATATAGCGTTTTCGTTAAGTTGCACCATCCCTCATGTGATTATTTTATAGTGCAACAAAAATAGAGTCATTTAGGGTGGGTATTATAAAGCTGCTCTGACAGTTAACTTAAAGTTAACTTTTTGAATTACATGTAATTCAAGAAGTTAACTTTAAGTTAACTCTCAAAGTAGTTTTATAATACCCGCCCTTAGAGTAAATTCACTCCACGCTTTTCAAATAAGTCTCGGGCAGCAAAATGGAAGCACACCTCATCTTTGACAGTTTGAAAATATCTAGTAGGCTATTTAGCGCTTTCTTTGAACCATCAAGGACAGAGACAACTTATGAATTCTTGAATTTTTTAGCTTGAGACCCTGGAATAGACAAAATTCGAGACAAAATTAATAGTTTTCTTATTTCTGGCTCTTGAATTGAAAAACTGAAGAAAATCGGGAGGGGCTCCGAGAGCCTGGAATAAACAAATAATTGAGATGAAGTTCTAGATCGAAAAGAAAACACCTTAACTTTGACATTTTAAGTAGTTAGTCAACTATAGCGTTTTTGTTAAGTTGCACCCTCTCTCATGTGGTTATTTTATAGTGCAACAAAAATAGAGTCGTTTAGAGTAAATTCACTCCACATTTTTCAGATAAGTCTCGGGCAGCAAAATGAAAGCACCTCAACTTTGACAGTTTAAAAAAATCTAGTAGGCCATTTGTAGCGCTTTCTTGGAATTATCAGGGACAGAGACAGCTTATGAATTCTTGAATTTTTCAGCTTTAGAGCCTGGAATAGACAAAAGTCGAGACAAAATTAATAGTTTTATTATTCTTTGCTCTTGAATTGAAAAACTAATGAAAATAAGCAGGGGCTCAAGAGCCTGGAATAAAAAAATAATTGAGACAAAAAAGATAAAGTTTTACATCGAGAAGAAAACACCTTAATAGTTAGTCAGTTATAGCGTTTTCGTTAAGTTGCACCCTCTCTTATGTGGTGATTTCAAGTGCAACAAAACTAGAGTCAATCGGAGTAAATTCACTCCACACTTTTCAAATAAGTCCGGGGCAGCAAAATGAAAGCAACTCATCAACTTTGACAGTTTGAAAAAATTTAGTAGGCCATTTGTTTAGAGCTTTTTGGAACCATCAGGGACAGAGACAGCTTATGAATTCTTGAATTTTTCAGCTTAAGAGCCTAGAATAGACAAAAGTTGAGACAAAAATTAATAGTTTTTTTATTCCCAGCTCTTGAATTGAAAAACTAAAGAGAACAGAGAGGGGCTCAAGAGTCTGGAATAAACAAATAATTGGGAGTATTGGGACAAAAAAGATAAAGTTCTATATCGAAAAGAAAACACCTTAACTTTGACATTTTAAGTAGTTAGTCAATTTAACGTTTTTGTTGAATTGTACACTCTCTCATGTGGTTTATTTTATAGTGAAACAAAAATAGACTCATTTAGAGTAAATTCACTCCGAACTTTTCAAATAAGTCTCGGACAGCAAAATGAAAGCACCTCAACTTTGACAGTTTTAACAAATCTAGAAGGCGATTTGTAGCGCTCTCTTTGAACCATTAGGGACAGAGACAGCTTATGAATTCTTGAATTTTTCAGCTTGAGAGCCTGGAATAGACAAAAGTCGAGACAATATTTATAGTTTTCTTATTTCCGGCTCTTGAATTGAAAAACTAAAGAAAACAGGGAGGAGCTCAAGAGCCTGGAATATACAAATAATTGAGACAAAAGAGATAAAGTTCTACATCTAAAAGAAAACACCTTAACTTTGACATTTTGAGTAGTTAGTCAATTATAGTGTTGCATTCTCTCTTATGTGGTGCTTTCAAGTGCTACAAAACCAGAGCAATCGGAGTAAATTCACTCTACACTATTCAATTAATGGTCGTTTGCACCGACAATTTTAAGGGAGTTTAACGATAATCAACGTTTAAAGTGACATTTTTACATGTAATAACGTCACTTTAAACGTTGTTTATCGTTAAACCTCGCTTAAAATGATCGGTGCAAACTGCCATAAGTCTCTCGTAGCAAAATGACAGCACCTCAACTTTGACAGTTTGAAAAAATCTAGTAGGCCATTTGTAGCGCTTCTTGAACCATCAGAGACAGAGACCGCTTATGAATTCTTGAATTTTTCAGCTTGAGAGCCTGGAATTGAGAAAAAAAAGAAAATGGAGAGGAGCTCAAGAGCCTAGAATTAGGCAATTTAATCCATCTGTCAAAAAGGAAAATTCAATATGGCGTGGCGGCCAAGCAAGCTTGTTTTGAATATGTTTTTATGTGTATTATAAATTATTTTGCTTAGATTTTTACTTGTAACTTTGATTTTGATTATTTAATACGATATTTATTGGCTAGGTACCTAAACTATTAAATCGGGCAGAAAATAGATATTTTTTTATGTTTTTTGGCCCATGTGTGGCCGCCACGCCATCTTGAGTGTCACGTGGTTTGAATTGCCTAATAAACAAATAATTGAGACAAAAAAAAAAGTTGTATATCGAAAAGAAAAATAGCAGGTACTTTCTATGCTCTAGATAATAGAAAGTACCTGCTAGGTAACAACCAGACACTTACCAGTTGGTCCATAATTTGGTCCTAAGTCAGTTATAGTGTGTTCGTTAAGTTGCACCCTCTCTTATGTGGTGATTTTAAGTGTAACAAAACTAGAGTCTATTAGAGTAAATTCACTCCACACTTTTCAATAAGGCCTCGGGCAACAAAATGAAAGCACCTCAACTTTGACAGTTTGAGAAAATCTAGTAGGCTGTTTGTAGCGAACGATTTGAAAAAAAAACCCATTAGGCATCAAAAAGGAGATTTTCTCTTTGAAATTGTCATTTTGAAATGATGTTAAAGTCTCTTTTCGACTAATTTACACCCTAATTTTCAGGTATATTTTCACCAATTTCATTAACAATCTTACGTGATAAGAATATAGAGACATAAAAAACGATTGCGCAAGAAATAGCTATGCAAATAAACAATATAACGGCTCGTGTTTTCCATGTCCGTTTAAATAAATAATTCCAATTAAATACGGCATTATATTATAACGCAACAATTCCGCAAAACCAAATGCGTTTTTTTTGCAGGAACACGGCCTTGCTTTCCAATTCTTGCAATTAAACTTCTTAACGAGATTTAGTGCTGATTAACGTATCGATAAATGATTTTAGAATTAACCCAGTTTTCCATATTATTCTTCCTACAGATTAAAAATTTCAAAAGCTACAAAAATAATAATGCCATTATGCAACTACCGCCGTCGAACATGCAAAGGAAGTAGCACCACACACACACATCCGTAGACATTTTGCAAATATAATGAATCTTGCAAAGTGCATATTATCGTCAATTACAAGTGTGTTTTGTGAAAGTAACTTAACTATTATTACAACATTCTTATCGAAGAACTACCTTGTTGAATTGTTAATTTGAGAGAAAAAAAATAAAACGGGGAACTTAAAGGTGTCCTCTGATTTAACTTCCAGAAATTTTGCATACAAGAGCCGATAATTATTATAACATTTTATCAACATGTTATATATGTCAACATAGCGGAATTTGTTCCGCATTGCTTGCAAAATGCATGTTCTACTTGTGGTTCTTATGAGAACCAAAACAAACTCTGAGTTTGGGTATGTAAGGTTTTTGTTGAAAATAAGTAACTTGATATTTCCTGTTTTAGATTTAAACCAAATAATTGTGTATTTTTTTATTCTTCAATTATAATTATTACATTTGCCTGACGCAACCATCAACTTATAATTTTCAAGATAAGAAAAAACACTCATTAGGTATGGTAAAAACATGCCATCAATTCTTCTCGACAACTCATCTGTGAAATTTAGGTTACTGGATGTGACGGAATGTTAGTTGGAATCTCTGATTTTTGATTAAAACTTGTATGAATGGTTCTTAGAAAATGCAATTGAGATGACATAGTTATTTATTTTATTGCCTAAATTAAAAAGGTTATCAATCGAATTATTGATAATGATTATTGTTTTGATTTCAGATGTTCAAGAACTTCTAATTGTTGGAAATCTTTCTGGAGTATGGAATAGAAGAGGACAACAATTATTTTTTGGTAAGATGTGTTCCAAGGCAATTGGTAAAATTTTCTTTTGGACACCCATAAATAACCCAAGAATTTCTCGTATAGTTTTTGGGGTAGGTATCTTAAGAAAGTTGCAACACTATTAACCAAATAAGGATATGACTTATAAAACGTTTCTGCAATAAATAAAATGCTGAATCGGCTTTTTCTTAGAACCAAAAAAAAATTATCTTCTCTGACGCTGATACCCATATTTGTCATCGATAACCATTTATTCGACTTTTACCACCAAATGGTTCACGATCACCTTGAGATGGATGACTACGTTTACACAGTTTAACAAAAATAAACTTCAGAAATACCTATGTAAGATATAGAAAATCTTAAATCTTACTTTCGTTAAGTTCCAGTTAAAAACCCTTACAGCCACAATGGAATATATCCATTTTCTGGAAAACTATGTAAAAGCGGAAATAAGTTAATGTATCTACATACATACATGGAAAGTTTAATTTAATTACTCACTTTATCACCTGCAATGCAATGAATCACAAATTTTATTATTTACCTGCTTTGGGTAATTATGTTACCCATTTTATCAAAAGCAAATACATAAACACAATCACGATTATTTTGAAATCTCTGGATTGAACGAGGTCATACATTTTATTTTATTTACACTTTCCATCTTGCGCTTTTAAAACCGCACTAAAATTTTGTCACTTTTATAGACGAAAATGTCATTCGAGTGTGTTAAGGTGTCTTCGACTGCAATTATGGACAATAAATCATTGATTTATTTTTGGTTTTAAGGTTTTAGTGTTTTTAAGTGTGGCATAATGGGGTCATTATACCATGGAAGTTTGATTTTGTTTCAATAGATTTGAGTTTTGTCTTTAATTTTCACCTGGTAAGCATGAGTAAAATAATCTAAATACTTATAGGCTTACAATGCCGTCAATATCCTAAATGTTCTACCTATTATTCTCCAATTATTCTATTAAGCTCTTTGCAGCTTTTCAAACTTAAACAACACTCTTGCTGTAATAATTCCAAATTTGGTGTCACATGTGGCTCTATATCGACATTAATTGGCTAGAGCCCCTATTTGTCGGCTCCAAAATGAAACCTCAATTAATCTCAATAATTGCTATTATTGATTGATGAAGATCCAAATGGCCAATTATTATCATCAATAGAAAACTTTTTCAATTTCTATATGTTTTATCAACTAAATAATCATTATATTTATATAAAAAAATTCTTTATAAAACTAGTAAAGAAATACAAAGTAATTTAAAAAAATCTTAGCACTATAAGCAAAAGTAATATAAACTGTAATTACTATCTTGAAAATCTTCGCTTTCAAAATGAACACCTGTGTGAATAGTGGTAACCTCACTCGGTTCGGGGTCAAGCCACTTTTATTATTATATAGGGACAGTGGAGGATACAAAACGACCAACGAGAAGCTTTTTAAGTACCGGCTCGGATACAGATTCTTCGTGTATTAGAGTGAAAGAGTGATAATGTTTAATAAGACTTTTTTCGAACTAATAATATGCTTATGCAAATAGAAATTTGGTAATTTGAAATGTTTATCTGCAATGTATTACCAAAAATCGCAATCAAGCAAAAGTTAAAGAAATGTATTACCAAGCCAAAAGAAACAAAATTGTTAATTGTTAGTAAATGGTAGCAATTTACTGAAATCTTTATTATCAGCTTCAGAAAATGCGTTTGAAGATTCAGGTTATCGATAATTTCTGATTATTCTGATCCAACTGTCAGCCTGGCTCTTAGGTACGAAGCGTCTATACCAAGAGGCGGTTCCAATGAACCTAGTAATATTTTGGGATGGAAAAAAATTGTCAGGATCTGGTCTCGAACCTTTTATATCTACATGGAACCAAGATATTTTAGTTCAGGCTCACAAAACTGTCATTTTGACTCAGACACAACTACCAACATTCTCAAATATTCTCTAAAGGTCTTTGAAATTATAATAATGTCCACTAAACACGCCATGACATAGGTTCTCTCAACACCTAAAGACACGTCGACAAGTAGCTGGTGAATTAGTCAGTCCAAAGGGCATACGCATGAAAATCATAAAGATTTCTACCTGGAAACGAATATGCAATACCTACATTCCTGCGAAGATTTATCGAGACATTTTATTCAATTAATTCTGAATCATATATCATTGAGTTTTTGTTGTTCCTGCGATGAATCGTTCTCATGATCCTAAGCTGATTTCTGAAGTGTACTAAACTTTTTTCCCGGCATTCCTGACAACTTGGGATCCAAACAGAAAATAATTAGAGGAATTTTTGACACAAAATTTAGTAGTTTTCTCCTCATTCCTTTTTCAGCTTTCTTTTGATCGCCCACTGATCAATGTTTTTCTAGATTTTTCAGTCATATAATCCAGTTTTTTTCCACATTTTGTTTTCGAATATTGACCCGAAATTTTCGCACAAATTTAGCCAATCAAGCCGTACGATTGTTTATGGTTTATCCATTTATTTTTGAGATCAGTGGTAAATACCGTAATTACCGGTTAAGAACGGTCGCTCGGTTCAAATCGTTTCATCGTGACATTTCATAGGTATTCAATAACCCTTTTCACGTGGCTCCGGTTTAACAAACCGCAACATACCGCTCAAATTCGAGTGGTAGGTATCCACACGTCACTTTGTAACCGGGTTAGAAGACGGTATGTCATTTCTCTAACCGTTTTGTAACCCGGTTAGTTGAACCGGAGCCACGTGAAAAGAACTAATGCCTTCTCAGGTTGGTAGAATGAGTGCAGAGAAAATGTGCCTATTTCTATGTTTCTTCAGCAGGCTGAGAGAAAGAGATAGAAAATACACTCAGTGCGAATTAAATCTACCAATCAGAAACGCCATAAGACAAATACCCCAAAAATCCCAATATTAAAATTAGGCACTAGCTGACGTCACACACAACCTCACATTTGACTTTCGATGGGGGGGGACAAATAAAAGCGTTTGAAGGTTTATTTTAACACACAGGCGCTAGCTATTACGTCAAGAATCATATAACGTAACTTTCGATAGGAGGACAAAAACGTCATTGAGAGGTTATGTGTGTGACGTCAGCTAGTGCCTAATTGCCTTTCATAATATACAAGGTGCTCGAAACGAAATCGATTCATTTTTTCCATTCCTGGGCTTTATATTGGAATCATTTTGAGACGCAAAATGGTAATACAAAAGACGAATCAAGGATAATCAAAATTTCATGTCGAAATGTAAAACATTAGATTAGATGCTTCAAAATTTCAATTATTCCCGGCTCTTGATTGGCTTCAAATGTCGCCATTTTGTTTCTTATACATCGGAAGCTATAAAATGGCGTTTTCACTGAGTATTAGAAAGAGGAAGGCGTTCTATATGTCAATCAAGAGCCGAGAATAATAATTATTTGTTTATTATACTGCATAATCCTTATTTTATAGGATTATCATTGAGCTCCAGGAGAAAAATATCAAAATGTACTCCAAAGTATAAAGCATTTTATTTATTAGCTAAGATGCTTCAAAATTTTAATTGTTCGCGGTTCTTGATTGGTTTCAAATGTCGCCATTTTGTTTCTGATACATGGAAAGCCTACAAAATGGAGTTTTCATTGAGTTTAAGAAAAAAAATGACGTTATATGTGCCAATCAAGAGCCGAGAATAAGAATTAATTGTTTACAAGTTTATAATGCATAATGCTGACTTGAGTTGAGTTTCATGAAATGTCAATTATTCCCGGCTCTTGATTGGCTTCAAATGTCGCCGTTTTCTTTCTTAGGCCGATTTTCCACTAAACAGACTGTTGAGTTTGTGTTTTAAAACAAAAACAAAACTGTAATAAACACTAAACTCTTGTTTCCATCAAGCGGATTATGTTTTGTTTTGTTGAGGAAACAAAACTCCAACTGTCTCAAAACACGCTAGTCTTGAAAATGTTTGGGGGAAGTTTGAGTTTGGGTTTTGTTTTTGTTTGGTGGAAAACCGGCATTATACATGGGAAGGCTACAAAATGGTATCTTCACTCAAGGTTCCTATAGTTCATAGGTTGTCTGGTAATGGGTAACTTGATGACGCATCCTGGAGTGCCTTATGGAGATTTGCATTATGTTGAGGCATACAGATGACGTCATAAAAATTATCAGGCAACCTCCTTCTTTCAAAAAAACCTTGGTTTTCACTAAAAATTAGAAATAAAATGGCGTTCTTTATGCCAATCAAGAGCCGAGAGTAATAATTATTTATTTATATGATAGAGTTTAGTTTATAAAGCATCATAAAAACTATTTGAGATAAAGAGTTCATCCATTGATTATCCTGGGCTTTTAATTAGCTCAAAATGTCACCATTTTCTTTCTCATACATGGAAAGCCTACAAAATGGGCGTTTTCATTGAGTATTGGAAAGGAAATGGCGTAGGTACTTGGCAATTTATCCCAACTATTGAAATTCCAACCAAGAGCTGGGAATAATCAAAATTTTATATTTAAGGCCGCGTTAATGGCCGCCATGTTCAAACTGTGATTGGTTGATTTTTCGAAACTTGTTTTAAGGTCTTAAAAAAAACGGCACATCAGAATTGGCTCAAAATTGGCATAAACATTATTTGATCGATTATCTACAATTCCTTATTTTGGTTTTTTGATATTCAGCCTTTTTTTTTTTAAATTCAAAAATCATGCGAGCAACCACCAAAACAATTAAATGTATTGGTGGTTGCATATTTGCATATTTATCAAGCTTGGATCCCTGAAAAACATATTTTATTGATAACCACGAAAAACTAAAAAGAGCTAATTGTAGAGATTGTAGATAATATATCAAATAATGTTTATGCCAAAGGATTTTGGAAATTATTGCGGATTTTTTGAGTTGACCTTAAAACGAATTTTGAAGGTGAAAACAGTTCAAGCAATTTCAAGTAGCCACGGCAAAAAAGCTACATTGGGAGCATCCCCAAGTAGCACATAATATGGGGTAAACATCGTTTTTCAGTTGGGCCAATATTTATTCATTTTTGTTGATAAATCAACACAGTACCAACATTGGGGCAACGTTAGTTTTAACTATGTGGAAACAATATTTAAAAATAATCTTGTACCAATATTGTTTTCATAGATTAATTAACTCTTCAGTAATTTGAATATTGGCCCAAGACTTCTCACTACAATATTGATTTATGAAATATTGGCCAAATATTACATTTTATATTATCGAAACAATATTGTAATATAATATTAATTCTATATTGGCATTCAATTTTTTATTGATATTTAAATTCACTTCAAAAACTTTGTACACCCAATATTTATTTCCAATTTTTTCGCAATATTGATACTTTTTGAAAAGCCCAATGAAGGGCCAATATTTACATACTAATTTTTACCAAGGTTAGATTTTCTGAATTGAAAATGTTGGTCCAATATAGGGTATTCAATGTGCGCACTTGGTGTGCCGACCAAAAAATAGATGGAGACTCTGTCTTCACTTTACCTGTCTTAAACCTGGTTCCAGGATGAAGCCAAAAATTGGTTGTTTCTCTCTGCAGGACCCTGGCGGGACTTAACCATGCTGATGACTTGTGATGCAGCGAAACGGGTCCACGGATGGTCCGGCAAAGAGAAAACACTTCTTAGTCGGTCCTTATAATTGGTCCGTTACCTTAATTAAATATAATATAAAGCCAAGATTTACATACGTCTCCGGGCCAATATTGGTAATTTCAATTGGCTCTATATTGCATAAAGTTCTTGATATGATATTGATTATTTCTTTTTGAGCCAACATTTGGTTACGTTATTGTACCAACGTTGGTATTTGTTTTTGGGTATATATTGACATACGTTCTTGGACAAATATAGCAGAATGTCCACATCTTTTATTGGGCCAACATAGAGAATCTGACTTGGGCCAATACATCGTAGTTATTGTCCCAATATTGGCCCAACATGGGAGTGCTACTTGGGTCATAGTTGTATATTTGTCTTTCTCTGTCACTAAGTGTTTCACCGACAAACAGATTTTGTTTTGGACAAAAAATAAAATATTGAACCGTATGTGTAGAGTGGCGCAGTCGTCATTTTCAAAAACTAAATTTAAACATGGCGGCCATTAACGCGGCCTTAAGTTTAAGGGCGAGACCCCACGGGCGTAATTGACGTAAGCGTAACTAATCATGTGGTTTAATTTGTACGATTTCATTGGCGGCAGTGCAGCCATCTTGAATTTTTGACATTACGCTGCCACTGCGGCAAAAAGTTGGGTTTTGTTGAACTTTTTGGCGTAATCGTGGCGAAGTTGTGACGTTTGTTTTTGTTTATTCTGATATATGAGGTGGGTTCGGCTTGCTCACTCTGAGTGACGTCATTCGCACTCCAGCCGTTCAGGTGGGGGATTCTCATCCTCTAGTCGCAACCTATCGGCCCGATCATCCCATTGCCTTTCTACGGGTGAGTCGGGACGATAGGTTGCGACCAGAGGATGAGAATCCGCCCCCTGGTATTGCTTTTTGGCGTATTAGGGGTGACTCCATTAGCGTTCCACTATATGGAGTAGAGTAAATGGAGCTCACTCCAAAAGTTCCACCTCGGAAAGAGAAATTTTCAGAGTAAGCATGCGCAGAGGTGAAATGTGGAAAATAATTGATCTGATTTTAAAATATATTTAACATGATGGGAAAATTTCCTTGACAAAGTTAAACAGACGCAAAAGCATTATATTATTCATTATTGTGGAGGGATTGAAGTAAATTTATAGTACACGGAAGACCAAAGACAAAAGTGAAAAAAAAAAATGGAAACCCGGAACGTTGTAAAGTCACAGTTGACTTGTTTTGGAACAAAGCATATTATTCGTGTATTAATTTTTCACTCTAATTACTCCTAGATCACGTGACAAAAATCTGTTCTCACTCCATTCCAACTCCGTGCTGAATAACCGAACCCCGCTATGATAGAACAATCACAGAAAACCACAAAAAACCAAAGGAAAAGGACTACAACAACAAATTAGTGAATTCTAATTACAACCTGGCAAAAAATAAACAAGATATTTGGGTTAGAAAAGGTTTTTGATTTGGTTTTGATGCACTAAATGCGGGATGTTACGCCAAAATTGGCGTAGAATTGACGTTCATGCCGATTGCGCTAATTACGCCCGTGGGGATTCGCCCTGAGGCGTCAACTCCTAGCATAAAAACTATTTGGGATAGAGAGTTCGTTCAAGAGTCATTGTAACTCAAACATGACTATTTCCCCCCTGTCACTTTTGACATTGTAGAAAATCACGTGGTTTTAATTACCACACTCAGTGCGAATTAATGCTACCAATCGGAAACGCCATTAAGCAAATTTCCCAAAATGATCCAATTCTATAACAGAAACTTGCTTGTATTTCCGAAATCCTTACTACCTATTTAGGTATAGGAACATGATACATCATTTGTAAGGGATTTTATTTTTTCATATTATACAGGGTGCTCTATTTAAAAAAGTGCACTTTTCATGTTTCTTTGTACCTGGCAGCACAATTACTAATTTTGACCAACACTGTATGATGTAGAACAAATTTTCTTGTTCAAAAGTAATATGCAGGACCTCCCTAAGTTATCTCCAAAATTTGAACTTTCTACGAATCTCAGTGACGTAGTATCTAATACAAATTTAACTAGATCTATGTTTTGAAGAAAAAATTAAGAAATAACCCTCTAACGTACCATCGACCATCAATCACCCTGTATATTCTTAATCAGAATTAAATGCTCTTTAAGATAAAATAAAATTGAATAATTTATCGCGAATTGTTTCTGAGATGTAGAGTCTCAAATTTCAGAAAACAGAAAACCTTCAAAGCTGATTATCTCGAAAATGAAGCTAGGTGACCGAAATAGCTCAAATAGAGATCTTATTGGACGAAATTTTGGGCCGGCAGCTTTTCTTATTTCGAAAATATAGCCCTTTGAAGTATTTGCATACCCCTTAGAAAAATTTAATTTTTTATTTTTTCTGGTTTTTTTCAATTTTTTACTTCACCAATTGAAAGAGCGCATCAAATTAATTGGAACAACATTTTCGTGATTTTTCTACATGATATATCAAACAGTTACAAACCTTTACTTTACATAAGCTTGACATGAAACTGCTGGTAAAAAAAATGTCTCTAATCTAATATATTTTACGTAAATATCACCACAGATGTGTTTAAAACAGTTGCATTCCTCTTTTTTCCTATACTTTCATCCATAGAATTATTTTCTGGAAAATCTACAGAATCATCATTTTCTACTCATTTCTTATTTGTTTTGACCAATTCTTCTTTGCAATTATCATGTCAGGCACCCATCATAATATGTCTTGTCAGTAGAATTCAATTTAACTAAAGTCAACCATCATCACTACGAGTTTTAAATATAAAATTTATATGTTGATTGCGACTTTTATTCAATTTTCTGGTTTCCGAATAATCAAAATAAATTGATTTTTTTTTTCTTTTCAATAAGATTTCAAAAACCAGTCTCGTGGAATAAATTCGAAGATTTGGGTTATGCTCGAATAATATGTCCTGCATAAAATGTAGGTGAACGAAAACTGGGTCAAGAATATGCAAAATTTTTTTCGAGAATTAATCGCCAATCGTGGTAAAAAATTAATAGGCGCTTGCAGTAATTGAATAAACAGTTAATCGTTGATTCATATGAAAATGTATAACTGAAATTAATAAGTTAATCTCAAGTGTGAGTTCTTGATTGGTACCTAAAAAAAAGGAAAAATCTCTGAAGAACTGGATTAAAATACCTCCCTACTTTATATAGGTACCCTTTACTTTTTTTCAGGAGACTTTATCAAAGAATCTCCCTTATCATACCTTCTATTGAGTATTGAATTTATTTGGTTTATCCTTAAAAAAGGGTCTGATTCTGATTGTGTAACACAATATGGAAAAGATGGTCAACTTTGAATTTGACCAAAACTAGCCTAAATGTTTTTAATGCAAATTTAATTGGATTTCCATGTGAATCAACAAAGTATCAATTGATGGCAATATCGATACGTCGAAGCCGCAAAAGAAAAAAACGTTGTATGAGAACCTCGGCATGTATGGGAACCCGAACGGTAAAAAGATACCTTGCGGCCAATATGTCAGTAGTAGTACCTACCTACCTAAGGTAGATATCAAATTTAAAAAAAAAAAGAGAAAATGGTAAGTAATCAGAAACCTGTTCTTGGAATAAGAACTCATGAGAAAATGTATTTGAAAATTAGATTTTTATGTTGCTCTAACCCCTAGATATAAAAGAAAGTATCATCAAAAATTAACAAAAAAACAATCATAATAATATGATGAAATAATTTATAATTAAAGTAAAAGTAATGTGAAACTAAGAAGTTAAAAATATAATATAGTTTTTATTTCGGTGATGTTCCCATCATATTATCATTGTCAACGCGATCATGTTACTTTCACTGAATTTCCCACAAATAATTATAAACAATGTGGTATTTGATGTCACGCAATAATTGTTTATCTTATGATATCATATCAAGGTTCTTCACCTTCATTGAATAGTTTTGATTGAACTGCAAATTGTATTCCATGTAACGAAGAATAGTTTCTCTTTTTTTTTTTGTGAATGAACCTTCGGGAATAATGAAAAACTAATTTCGCTATTGGGTACTTAAAAAATAATACGGTAAGCTTAGAAGTACCGAACTAAGCGGCCAGTTTCCGAGTAACAATCGTCCGATGGTTTGCCAGGGGTCATTATGTCCGTCTGGGAGATGTTAAAAGGCTTTAGCACACATAATCTTCATTCAGAAGAAAGCTCGCTTATAATTAGGTAGAAATCGCGTGTGAGGGTATGAGAGGTCATAGAATAGTAACTAGTTGTTCTTTGTTTATATTGTTATAAAATAACGTGTTTACTGATCGATCACTAATTGGAATATTCAATATGGCTCAGACGTCGATGGAGCAGAAAATTGGATATAGTAAAACGATCTAAGCTAAAAAACACAAAGATCACTTTAAACAAACCAAAAAAAAAAAATTAATTTGTATATCTAAAATAATAAGAAACAAGAAAATATTTGACGTAAATGAAACACCTAACAAAAAATTTAATTTGAAATACATATTTTCAAATTTCCTCTTCATCCTCTTCATCGGTAGTTTCATCTTTCCTCGGATCAAAAACACTCGATTGTCCCAACTCAGTTTCAGTAACATCAGCTTCACTGGAATAAGTAGTAGTTGTTGGTGGCTCCGTCTCTTCATCGCTACTATCTTCGAGCATTATTTGCGTTATTTTTATGTCTTTTATAAATACAGCTTCATCGCGCTCTTCTAAAGACACTGGTATCTTGTTGATCCTCTAAAGTAGTCTTTATTGAAAATTATTTTTTAATATCAAATGGAATGATGTAACCTTTAATTTTGGCAACAAAACCAAAACACCAATCCTTACAGGATCCCAAGGATCTTGCTTCTTAATAGGACCATCTTCACCAAATTCCTCCTCCAAATCTTCATCGTCATCCTCTCCTCTTCTTTCTTCGCCTTTTTTTTTATCCACAGGATTTTCTGTATAAATTAACGTTTCTAAATTCGGTAAACAATCCAGCTTTCTGAATTGCCTCATTTTTGTAATTGAATTGCCGCGCAAATTTAAATAAGTGAGTTTAGTCAGGTATTTTGTAAAACCGTTTAGTTTGCGGATTTTGTTGTCGCGCAGAAAAAGGACGGTGAGGTTTGAAAAGTTCGGAGTTAGAGCGAGATCTTGAAGCTTGGTGATTTTGTTTTTTGCCAAATACAGATGTTCTAGGCTATAGAGAAAAACAAATTAGTTTTTGTAAAATATTAACATTGTTTTGTACCTTTTTGGATAAGTACCGCTTAAATCCATCAAGTGGTTGCCTTTGAGGTCCAGCGTTTTCAAATTGGGAAGCTTATCGCCCGCAAACTGGACAGTGAAAATTTGATTGTATTCCAATTCCAGCTTTTCCAGCATGGGTTGTGCTATGTCGCAAGTTTCTTCGATTTTATTAGCGCTCAGACACAAAACCTTTAAAAAAAAGTGCCAAGAATCACATTCAAACTCCCAGACAGCACAGAGACATCTCAAGAACAAAACGTCATATAGGCGTCATTTCAGGCATCTGCCTAAAGACGTCTTCAACAACAGCATGTCTTTAAGACGTCTTTGAAAGATGTTTTAAGCCAGGTTGACACGGTCCAAGTGCACTTTATTGAGAACTTGGACCAAGTAAGTTGGTAGCCAGCCTAATGTTAGAACCTATCCAACTGGACTTGAATAAAGCCAAGTTGACACGGTCCAAGAGTCCTTGGATCAAGTAGGGGAGAAGTGTGTACCTCGGGACACAGTGTACTTTGGGACACCTCCGTAGAAAGAAAACAAAATGTAGTATTCTAACCTGCGAGTCAAAAAGTTGTTTTGCTCTCTCATAGATGGCAGTAGGAAAAATACTGAAACATTTTATTTGCATATGGCGAACAATAACAGCATCCTACATTTTGAACTGTAAAAAGTAAATTTTTATCCAGTGACATCGTGTCGTTTAAAAATTAAAGTAAGTATTTTATTCCACTTATATGTAGTATAGTGAATTGTTGAGATAATTGTATGATTATTTTTTGTTTTGAGAGGTCTGTTTCTCTATTTTTGCACAAGAATAACCTAATTTGTTGTATGTTTAACGGTATGTGTACCTTGGGACACAGGCACAGGTGTACCTTGGGACTGTCCCAAGGTACACCTGTACAGTCCCAAGGTACACTTGTAATATTATTTTTTGTAGATATGCAGATATTCTAAATAAATATTGTTTAAATTTTTTTCTATGTAAGTCATAAATCGGTTGTGGTAAATCTGAAGTAGTATATGCATGGAGGCTGATTATTGTTCACGTTTTTGAACTGCAAATTTTAATTCGAAGCAAAAGCAACTTTTTGTCGTTTCAGAAATGCCTAGAAGCCATAATAATATTAAAAGGCCCAAGCCTTCTTCTGAGGCTGTTAAAGCTGCAGCTGAAAAAGTTCTTAGCGGCCAATCCGGGCTAAGAGAAGCCGCTTTAGAATATAATGTCAGTAAATCAACACTAAGTCGACACTTAATAAAACACCGAAATGAAGATAACGAAGAGTTTCTGTATGTTCCAAACAATGCTGTTAAGCAAGTTTTCACCAAAGCCCAAGAAGGTGAATTGAATGTTTATTTAAAGCAATGTTCGAACATGCACTATGGTTTGTCTACAGTCGAAGTGAGAAAGCTGGCCTATAATTATGCAAGAGTGAATGGGATAAAATATCCTGATTCGTGGGACCTTAATCAAAAATCTGGAGTGGATTGGTTAAAGTATTTTCTTAAGAGAAACAATGATTTAAGTTTACGAAAACCTCAGGCTACCAGCTTGGCTAGATCAACCGCTTTCAATAAAGAAAATGTTAACACCTTTTTTGACAAATTAGAGAATGTCATAAAACGATTCAATTTTGGACCAGAGAATATCTATAATTTGGACGAGACTGGCATGTCTACTGTTCATGCCCCTGTTCGCATTTTGGCTCCCAAAGGCAAGAAACAGGTTGGCAGTATGACGTCAGGTGAGAGGGGATTAAACATAACAATGATAGGAGCCATAAATGCTGTAGGGAACTCAATACCGCCACTATTTGTTTTTCCAAGGGTCCATTTTAAAGACCACATGCTGAAGGGAGCTCCGATAGGTAGTGTGGGTGTGGCAAATCAAAGCGGTTGGTCAAACTCGGCAATATTTTTAGAATATCTACACCATTTTGTAAAATACACCCATTCTAGCCAAGAAAATAAAATTCTTCTAATACTGGATAATCATGAGAGCCACATCTCGGTGGAGATATTGAACTTTTCAAAAGAACATGGCATCGTCATGTTAACATTACCACCACACACTAGCCATAAGCTTCAACCTCTCGATAGGTCAGTCTTCGGACCATTGAAAAAATATTACAATACCGCATGTAATGAGTGGCTGTTATCAAATAGTGGTAAACCCATGACACTTTATGATGTGGCTGAATGTGTTGGAAAAGCCTTCCCCAAGGCATTTTCTCCTGCAAACATTCAATCTGGATTCAGGGTAGCAGGAGTTTTTCCTCTTAATAGGAATATTTTTGAAGAACATGAATTTTTGAGTTCCTTCGTAACGGATAGGCCACTGGAACAGTCGACAAGAAATTTCCCACTGGCTACCAAAGATTTATCAGAAAACGACGAATCATCAGCAAATTCTGGTAATATTTTTATGAATATTCGGTAGGTCTTAGCATTTCCTTTATCTGTTTTCTTTAGTTATAGATAGCCAACCAGTTCCGGGTCCATCAGGAATAACTATCACACCCGATAAAATACGACCATTTCCAAAGGCTCAAGCTAGAAAGGGAGTCAAACGTGGTGGAAGAAAACTTGGCCGATGTAGGATACTCACGGATACCCCTGAGAAAACTGAAATAGAAGAAGAGGCAGCAATGAGAGAGCGAAAAAACAAATGTAAAAAGACTACAGTTAAGAAAATTTTAGTTTCTTCCAGTAGTAGCAGTTCGGATAAAGAAAATCAGTCGATTTCTTCAAGTGATAGCTTAGAAGATATTGAATGGAACAAACCTGAAAGTGAAGATGAAATGTCTAACGATGAAATAAAAGTAGGCGGGTTTGTCCTGGTCAAACTGATGGGCAAGAAGTCAATAAAGTTTTATGTAGCAAAAGTAATTGAAATGTTACCCGATGAAGTTTTGGCGGTAAAATATTTGAAAAAGTTAGTTGGAGGCAAGTTCATATTTCACGATGAAACTGTTTATGAAATTTCGACATCCGAAGTTGTTATGATTCTGCCTCTTCCTCAACTGGCAGGAGGAACTGAGACAAGGAGTCATCAAATGCGTTTTTCGGTGGATTTTTCTGGTTATAATATTGAATAATTTAATGTCCCAAGGTACCCACGGTGATGTCCCAAGGTACCCAAGGGAGTGTGTACCTTGGGACAAAAAATGTGTTTTTTAAAATGTTGATTTTCCTATTTTGGTATGAGATTTAATGTTTAGTTTATGAGTATGTGTTAGACCCTATGTTAAAATAAGAAACTATGTGGAAACAATTTTTTTAAAATAAATGATTTCCCAAATACAAGCTTTTTCAATAAAATGTCCCAAGGTACACACTTCTCCCCTACCCTTGAATGATGCACGTGGCTTATTTGGGCGATACTTTTGAATCGTATCAACTGTTTGTTCAAGTCCATTTGGATAGGTCGTATCATCCAAGTCAGTAGAGGCTGGCTGCTACACATTTGATCTCATCCAAAAGCTTGGTCCAAGTGCATTTGGATGAGAACTGGGACGAAGTAAGTTGGCAGCCAGCCTTCTCACATAGATGTCAGGACCTTCCAACTGGACTTGGATGAACGATCCAAGTATCATTCAAGTGAGAGCATTCAAGGGTAGGTACTTGGTCCAAGTACGCTTGCACCGTATCAACTTGGCTTTCAAAGCATGTGTCCACTGAACTTGAATCTCTTTTTAATACATAAACCATTATTCACTTTTATACCAATTAGTGGTTTAGTTAAAATCTATTGGTATACTTGATCTTTTTCCATTTAAATTACGTTGATGCAGTGGCGGCGCTTGGATGCACTGCCACTAAGCAAATACCTATCACAATTTCACAATTAGGTCCCCCTGGGTTTTATTAATGGCAAATTATTCAACTAAAAGAGCCAATTAGAAGCTGCGATAGAAGAAATTTTGATTATTATCAGCTCAAGAGCTGCTAATTGCAATCGAAACTTGGATTATTATCGGCTCTTGAGTCTTGACTGCCCTTAGAACAATTCTCTACGGTATCCAGATTTGATAAAAGTTTAAATTTCGGCTCTTGATTGGCTCCAGGTCAATTTTCCAGAGAATCAAGAGCCCGTAATAGTTCAAATTTCGATTATCTGTGGCTCTTGATCTATTGGATAATTTTTCTTGAGCCAATTAGAAGCTGCATAACTTAAGAGCTGCTATAATGATCATCCGAAATTTTTTTATCGGCTCCTGAACTTTGAATGTCCTTAGAAAAATTCTCTAGGAAATCTAGAGTGGATAAAAGTTCAAATTTCGACTATTAGCGGCTCTTGATTGGCTCTAGGAAGGTTTTCCAAAGAATCAAGAGCCGGTAACAGGGCCGGATTGGGAAATTTTTTTGGCCCAAGTTGGAGTTCTTATATATCGGCCCACCCAGTGACCCTGTGGGAGATCTATAATTTTTGCTTTCCCAATAGCGCCGCAGACGGAAATTTTGAAAATTTTCAAGTCACGCGTTCTCCTGTCACCTAAGAATGTCCTCAGGAAAATCCATTTATGCAAAAATTTAGACTGAATTTTACAAGGAAAATTTAATTCATCTCTGAAAATATTAATAATTTGGAGTGAGTAGTATACCGAAGTCCGAAGTTGAAGGGCCGATATCGAACCACTCACGAGAAACCTAAACCTGAACCTAACTATTATTGCCACCCCTAAAAATGCGAACTCAATTGAATGAGTGAGAAAGAGAAAGCACGATTGTAGGATGAATTAAACAAAAATTCAGATGGAAAAATGTGAATATTCATATTTTTTCTATTCCAAGCTCTTGAATTTTCTATATTGAGACAAATTCGAGAACCGGGCAGGGCCGTAGCTAGAGTCAAATTTGTGGTAGGGCATGACAAATTTGACATAGGGCATACACTACTTGCCCCCCCCCCTCTTCCCTTAAATTATAGGTACCTAAACAATCTAGTGGTAATAGCGTCCAAGGCAAATTTTTCAATTAATGGCATCTCTGGCAAGTAAAAAAAATGGCGTTGATTCTTGGGCCGCCTTGGACCATTCGTACCAATAGTGAAATCCATTGATAGGTTCAGTGCGCACTGAGTGCATTCGTGTCCTCTTCTACTAGCATGTAAAAGAAAGTGGCAGAAATACACGTTTTTTGCACCAATTTCACCAATGGCTTTCGCCATAACTACTACTACTATTATAGCATCATAAGGCCTGTGTATATCGAGTCTCAAGCCCCCCATCACGCCAAAAAACCAGTGATTACGTAGACAGCGTGTCGTTTCCCGCCTTGACGTAGGGTGTTTTCACCACAGGCACACCCATAATAACATTTTTCATCATAAATGTATATTCTAATCTACGACCACTGGCGCAAACAGCTGACGACGTAGTTGATAGGTCTGTTTCTGCAGAAATCACAAACCAGTCAGAGCGAATATCATTGGTTGAAAACAGTCAGAAACAGTCAGAAAACTAGTTTCAACCAATGAAATTCACTCTGACTGGTTTGTGATTTCTGCAGAAACAGACCTGATGATGTCGTCAATAGTGTTACACCATATGGCCGCAATTTCCACAAATGAGACCGATAAGCAATCCTGTGTAGTAGTGTGTATTATCGTATTATCCTTGCATTTGCACTCTTTCGAAACGAAAAACTTCCGTTGTGTAAACGTCGAACATTGTTGCATACATTTAGGAGTTTAGGGAAACACTTATCCTCGCACTTACTCAATTTCAGGCCTTTTCATTATCTACTCTTAAATTTCCTAGAGAAACCTTAACACGTGTTGCGTTTTAAAGGTAGGGCATTCTCATTTGGAAGATAGGGCATTGCCCCCCTGTGGCTACGGCCCTGGAGCCGGGAATAGACAAAAATTGATTTGGAGAAATCGACTTACCATGGAGATTTTTGCTAAGAAAAATGGCATTTTATTTGAAAATTAACGTGCCAATTATGGAAAATTCGACACCTCGCACTACAAAACTCATTTCAAAACACTTTTCCGCACTGAAATCGAGAAATATTCCAGAAAAACCACAGCAAAATACTACTACGGCCATTTTTGTTAAAAAACACAATTTTAAAATGGCCGCCCAAGGCCTACTTTGATGTTTATTTCGAAAGGTGAAGTTAGCTGATATAACAGGGACTCAATACACCATTACAATGGCGACAATAGAGGTTTTGTCGTCATATTTTTGCTAATTTTGAATATTTCATTGGTGAATATAGAAGTGAGCCAGGCCCCCGCCGCCATATTCTTGCCAATTTTCAATATGAACATATAGGATTTCGAAAATAGGACGGCAATTGACGCCACTGTAGCTAATATGACAGTTTCCACTTACCATGAGAATATTTTCTATGAAAAATGGCATTTTATGTACCTAATATTAACGTGCCGATTATGGAAAATCCAATTCCTCGTAGCACAAGAAACATTTTTCGCACTGAAATCTATTGAAAATCGGAAAATATTCGAGAAAAACCAATAACGGTCAAAAAACACAATTTTAAAATGGCCGCCCAAGGCCTGCTTTGATGTTTTTGAAACGTGAAGTTAGCTGATGAATAATTTTCACTTTACTTGATGAAAAATTAGATTTTCCTTAAAAATTCAATTCTTTGCACCTTGCACCCCAATAAACATTCTTTTTCGTATAAAACTAACAAAACGCAATAAGGCAATCCAACAAGCTGTCAAATCATCAATTCAATATGGTGGCAACGGTCAAACATTTGCGATGTGTGTTTTTGTATAGAAATATAAAAGCCCAATGTGGCGGTTATAGTCAGGGATGGGCATCTACGCGTAAATAAAGATTGTCTACGTCTGGTGTAAACAACGCGTAGACAATGTAAACTATGTAATCTATGTAGATAACGTGTAAAATATGTAGACAACGCGTAAAGTATACAATTTTTGACAGTTGGCGGGCCTTTAAGGTTATGTTTCTGTTTTTGCTCAGTTTTATTTTTAACTTTGTAAAGTTAATTAAACCGCAGATAAATGTCTAATTTGATACAATATAAATTTAATGCAATGCAAACTTTCAAAAAAATTACTCATATTTCAAATTTTCTGTTGTCTACATTGTCTACCTACATAGTTTACATAGTCTACATGGAAAAAAGTGAATGTAAACAATACGTAGACAACGATTAGACAAACCGCGTAAAGTAGATTTCATAGTCTACGGCACGTCCCTACTGGTTATAGTCAAACAATGGAATTGGCTCCAAAAATATCGGTTAGCTTCAGACAACCGTGTTATCATAAAACTGTTCTCTGTGTGTAATTTGTGGATTTTTGAGGGGATTTTCTATTGCTGGAATTGGAAAAGGATAATTTACGTATTTTCATAGTGTATAAGCAAAAAAACAGGGATAATACACACTACTAAAGGATTGCTTAACCGTTGCCTGGTAATGGGTAATTCGATGACGCATCTAGGGTGCGTTATGGAGATTTGCATTATGTTGGGGCACCCCAGATGACGTCATAAAGTTATCAGGCAACTTACTACTCTCAAACAACCTTGGCTTATCGGCCTCGTTTTTGGTAATCGCCGCCATATTAAGTCTAGCTGTTTCTGCACAAATCACAAACCAGTCAGAGCGAATTTCATTGGTTGTTTGTAACTAGTTTTCTGACTGTTTCTGACTGTTTTCAACCAGTGAAATTCGCTCTGACTGGTTTGTGATTTCTGCAGAAACAGACCTATTTGTGTGTCTCCATTTCTGACGTCATTAACATGTCGTCAGCGGTTTGCACTAGAGAGAAAAAGATGACAATGGGATTTAAAAAAGAGTTGTTTTAGAATGTTTATTGTTATAGTAAAACTAAGTATGCATAAAGCAGAAGCCCGCGGAATCATAACCTGTCGTGCAAACAGCCTACGTCAAGGCGAAGAAGGACATGCTGCCTACGTAGCAACTGGTGATTTGGCATGGTGGGGGGCTTCAGATTTGTTCCACATAGGTCTTATGAGGATATGCTATCCTGTAGTAGTAGTGAATGTGTATTATCCTTGGTTGGATGGTTTCATTTTGAAATGGCCCTCCAAATCCTACTTCAATGTTTTCGAAACGTGAAGTTAGCTAACGGAGAATTTTAATTTTTCTTGATGAATAATCAGATTTTCTTTAAAAAATACCAAAAATTCAATTCCTCGCACCACAAAAAAAACGATATTTTTCGTATAAAACTACCAAAATGCAATAGGGCAATCCAACGAGTTGTCAAAACACAAATTTAATATGGCTGCAACGGTCAAACATCTGTGATGTGTTTGTTTCTTGTGTTTATAAATCACGAAACTACGAAAATTATGCTGCTCAAGCAATAGACTAGTTTTATGATAACAAAACGTCACGGTCGTCGAAAGGAAAATCAAATCCTTCATTGTTTGACCATGGCCGCCATAGGGATTGGATTGCACAACTTTGAAATGGCCGCCCAAAAAGCCTCTTTAATTGTTTCTGAAACGTGAAATTAATTTTCTGTGAAAAATTATACAAAAACCACTTGTTTTGCACTGAAAATTTGGAAAATGCCAGTAATACAGCAGAACCGATACGACTGCCATCTATGAGGAAAAAAAATGAAACCCAAAACGGATATGGATCTTTATTTGAATTATGTTTTAGTGCGGAAAGTGCTAATTTTCAGCACGCGATTGCAGTTGGTAGGGAAAAGATACTTTCCGTACGAGGTAGGACAGGAAAGTAATTTTTATTATAAAAAATGCGGTACTGTAGTGCGGCAAAGTAATACCTACTTTTGATATGACGCGCACGCTCGTAGAGAATAATAATAGGAAATGACTCAAATTCAAAAATACAGATTAAATTATGTTATGAAGTTTCTATGTCGGACAGGGCCAAAATGGGACATTTTTTCGGCCCGAGTTGGAGTTCTTATATCGGCTTACCCAGTGGGAAATTTATAATTTGCCCCTCAAGCATCGCTTATACCCGCTTATACATATCGCCGCCACTGCCTTGATGTCAAAAGATGTACACTTTGGCGGATCTCTGACATCAATGCAATTTAAATATAGGAAATAAATGAAGTAGGTACATCATATAGACGTCTTCAAAATAACGTCTTTTAGATGTCTTTTTTTGGTCTTCAGACGTTCAGACGTAATGCAGACCTAAAAAAGACGTCTTTAACACTTTGTGTGCTGTCTTTATGAGTTTACCAAAAAGTCGAATTCAATTCTCAATTTATGCCAACTCTGCAAATTAAAATTCTCACCTGAAGATACGGCATCTCTTGCAAAGCTCCAGATTCCACCCTATTCCTATTAGCCGTCAACCAAAGCAAAAACGGCATCTGCGCCAACACTTGCAACGCTTCCAAATTCAAAAGGTTACCGCTCAAATCCAAAAACAGCACGTGTTTGAAATTCAAAATCGTGGAAACTTCGGTCAGTTTCCGATCGACAGCTTTAATCGACAAATACGCGTACCTTACTCCACTTTCGTCTTTACCCAAAAGCCCCAAGCATCTGCAAGCTTCTTCATAACTCAGACTTTTCTCTTCCACAACAGCATCAAAAGTGACAATGAAGTGAGGAGAATCTTGTAAAGGCTCCACATATGGACGATCTTCGCCTGGAAGAGGAAACTCTCCATATTCACCATGTTCATCCATATTCATTGCAGTATTTGTTTCAGCAATATGTCATCGGCAATCTGTCAAAACTTTGTCCAAAACGCCTGGAAAAAGGAATTGTGTTCCAATTGTTTCAAATCCAAAGACGAACATGCCCCGCCTCCCAAGCCAAAATCAGTCCAATTAGTTTCCAATAGGAATGTATCAGGAATCATTAGGGATCCAAAAAAACGCAAACCTAAACTCAATGTTGAGTTTACTAAGGAACTAGCACAATTTATTGGTAAGTAATTTTTTGCCTTAATTAATTCATTGTTATTTAACCAATTTTTTGAAGGTTACGGAGGTGAAGATTGGCTTTCAGACGAGGAAACTGATGAAGAGCCTACATATGATGAGTCTGATCAATCTATTAATGATGATGATCTTCTAACTGATTCTGATGAAGATGACCAGATTAAAGAAATTAGAAGATTGACTAAAAAAAATACAAACTTCAATACGGTATCTTTAGGTGAAATGATTGAAGAAAAAAAGTCTTATGCTCATTTACTATTGGGCAAACCTTTGGTAAACAATGAAGGTAAAAAACTGGTCGTATCAGTAACACCTTTTGGTGAAGATAACACGCCAAGAAAATATTCAACTAAAACTTATACAAGCACTTTGGTTACTAACGGCAAAGAAGTCAAAATCGAAGACAAATCTAATGAAGAAAAATCTTTGCTGGACGAAATCTCAGAAACTCTAGAAAAAAGCAACAATTCAATATTAGGCAGACGAAAAACGCCTTTGAGAGAAATCGAATCAAATAATAAAGAAAATATAATTATTCAAAAAGAGGAAACAATAAAAACTGAACGAAAAACAACTTTAAGCAGGACTCCGGCACTGAAGAGCAGAGACTTGGAAAAACCAGCCATTTATCAAACTTCCACAGCGAGGATCGAGATATTGAATAACAAAACCACAAATAATGCGATTACAAAAGAAAACACTATTGATACTATTACTAAAGGTCTATCCAAAAGAGATCAAAAATTATTCACAGACATTGTATCTTCATCTAACTTTATCAAAAACGAAAAAAAATTCAGTATTCCTCAAAGTAGAGAGCAAGCAGGTAAACCTGACGGCCGTGAAGATCCTGAAGAAACTCCAGCAGAACTTCCAGCTCTACCTTTAACACCTCCTCCAGCTTTAGAAAATCAAACTTCATTTTTACATCCAGCAACAAATAATCCTCCTGTATTGGAAAAACCTAAAATCCCTTCAAAACCCTCAACAGTTTTGATTCGCAAACCTATTCCAGTCACTCCTACTAGTCAACCATTGACAACATTTACTAAAGAACCTTTAGTGAAACAAGACAGCGATGCAGATTCCAAAGGCAAACGTAGAGCACCAATGCCTCCAGAAGAAACTTTGCAACCTACAGCAATATTCACTAGAAACTCTGCAGTTTTGACCAACGGAGACTCACCAGTGGTCAGAGAAAAAGAAAAACGGGAGAGAAACGAAAGGGCTAGTTCGTGTACACCAAAAATATATGAATTGGATATTGGTCATTATCAGACTCCTGCGCCTACGCCTAGAAAAAGTTTGTCCATCTCTAGTGATAATTTAGTGCCTTCAGATGACAAACGCAAATCAAAAGGCCGCTTTTCCCTCAAAAAATTCCTCAGAATGGGTTCCAGTAAAGACCTGCCAAGATTGTCCATCGACCCTTCAACTATGGAAGAACCTTTGGCCGTACCAAAACCCAAACCTAGACTAGTGATTGTCCATCCTAGTGAACTGAACGGTTCCAAAGTCGAAGTTGTTGCCAAGCCTGATCAACTCGACAACGCGGTCATTGAAACAAACGAACGGTAAGAATCAGGATTATGTGGCAAGTGAGTTTTTGTTCAATATTGTTTGTAGTTCCAGCTTAAAAGCAACCAAACCGCCTCCTCCTCCGAGGAACTACGACAACTGGAAGCCTCCTCTGACATCGCAGCCACCTCCAAAAAGTATGGAAATTCTTAATAAGCAACTGGCGTTGTCTAGGAGTAACTCAAACTCCAGTACTGCCACTAACAAGTCAAAGACTGAAACTGTTTATGCTAATATTGGAGAAGTTAGGTAAGAAATTCATTTTTTTTTTTTAGTGTAGGCACTAGATTTTTAAATTTTTGTTTATAGATCATCAATAGTGCCTAATAAACCGGTCAGGACGGCGAGTATGCGAGAGAGGGAAGCGCAACAACAAAAGCAAATGCAACAAAAGCGAAGCAGCAACCATCATTACGAGCCTATTGGTAATGACAGAATGAAAACCAATGAAAATGTTTACGACAGTGTCAACGGCGGTTCAATAAGTAATCGGTCTAGTAGTCCTGGAAGTGATTCTAGCGGGAAAAATAGTCCGAAGTCGAAAAACGCTAGATTGAATAAGAGGTAAGAATAATCCGCATTTGGGTGCTTAATCCAGCTATGAAGCTTAGTGGTGGAATTGTTTTCGATTACCGGCTTTCGTGAAAGATTTCCTACAAGAGCCGGGGTATAAATCTCCATCCGTAGGTCGATCGAGTGTACGCCACTGGTGTCACCCTGGTTTTTAGATCCCCCTTAACCTTCCATGTTAGTATGAATTAAATCCCATGTACAGTTTTTGAATAATTGTCACCTGATTATATAGTTTTGTATGTTTTCGTATAAATCTCCATCCGTAGGTCGATCGAATGTACGCCACTGGTGTCACCCTGTTTCTTAAAACCCCCTTAACCTTCCATATAAGTATGAATTTAATCCTCGATCTTTATACATCGACTGAGCTGTCCTACGCGTCCTACGCGTCCTACCTTTCGGCTTTCGCACTTCTGTTACCCACCAACTATCAAGCTAGCCGTAACTACCCCCCAGAGTCCAACACCTGCGAAAGGCGCCAAGTTTTTATACTTGATTGGGCAAGCCTTTTCCCCATGGGTACTCGTGTTAGTCGGGTTCCCCCAACAATGTTTGACGAGTCACCGTTCACTCCCATTTTCATGGTAGCTACCACATCTATATTAATACACGCTTGTACCTTTCGACCACGGTCCGCCAAATCTGGAATCAGCACAGCGGCGAGCATTTTTACCGGCACCGGAATGTGGTCGACTCGGCGCAGTAGTTTCTTGTGTTAAAAGGGCTCACTAGGTGAGTTCCTTTTCCCTTGACAAGGTCTGGGATCGGGGTTTCCCCCTGCGAGGAGGGTTTAGGGAATCTGCTAATCAGACCTTCATCCACTTGTTGTCTGGCAGTGGAGGGTGTGTCGGGTTGGCACTCTTGGGTGTCGACCCACTAAAACCCTTTCCCCCCTCTTTCTCAACATCACTCGGAACCGCTTTCACATTACGTCGAGTGATGAGGTGTCTCCTTTGTTGTCATCTATTTGTCTATTTATCTATTTATCTATTTATCTATTTATCCATTTATCTATTTATCTATTTATCTGTTCACTGTCATGTTCTTCATCCTCACTTTTCTTGACCAATATATTCCTGGCTAGCTCCTTGACTGCTATCCAGTTTTCCTTCCTGTTTACCATTTTTGCCAGAATGCTCTCTGGGGTGATTGTGCCCGTTTGCTCTTCGCATATTACTCGCTGCCCACACCAGTGCCTGCAGTGGAAGAGGGTATGTTCCGCGTTGTCTGTCTTCCCACAGTAAGTACACTCGTTGCCTGCTGTCTTGTTAATATCATATGTGTAATCTCGGAAGCTACCGTGCCCGGTCAGAAACTGTGTCAGGTAAAAGTCCGTGTCCCCATGCTTTTTCTTCATCCAAGTCTTGATATTTGGGATGATCCTGTAAGTCCATCTTCCTTTCTTGCAGTTCTCCCACCTATTTTGCCATTCTATCATCAGCAATTCTCCTGCTTCGGTCCGGGCGGCCTTTTTCTCTAGTGTGGGCGCCTTCACTATTGAGGCAGCCTGTTGCGCAAGGAGATCCATTGGGGGTGTCTCCGCTATTACTTGGATTGCGTCTGAAGACGCGGTACGGTAGGCGCTACAGATCCGCAGCGCAGCCTGTCTTTGGAGCCCTTCTACCAGTTCTCGGTACTTTCTCTTCCGCAGAGTCCTTTTCCTGACCGGAGCGGCGTACAGCAATATGGATCTTGCGACCGAAAACAGAAGTCTTCTTTTTCCGAAGTCGGGCCCCCCTACGTTGGGCATCAGCCTTGCTAGTGCCGTCATTGCATTTCCCGCTTCGACGACGGTCTTTATGATGTGTGATGAGAAAGAGAGCTTGCAGTCCAGCCAGACCCCCAGGTACTTGATCTCGGCCGTCACTCTCGTCTCAGCTCCTAGGATATTGAATGTTCTGTTTGGGACTGTCTTTTTATATGTGAGTATCATGACCTCGGTTTTCTCTTTCGCTAACTGTAGGTTGTTGTCTTGCAGCCACTCTACTATGCTTGCCATTGTGGTGTTAACTTTGTTTTCCACTACGTATACGCAGCCCATTATTACTTTTGCCACATCATTCGCATAGCCAATAAGGGTTACCCCATTTGGTAACTTCAGCTCTAGCAGACCGTCGTACATAATGTTCCACAGGGTAGGTTCCAAAACGGATCCCTGTGGTACTCCCTTGGACATGTGGAAGGTTGACTCCTTACCTTCTGCTGACACGATGATGGTTCTATTCGAGAGGTAACTCTGTATGAGGTTTAACAAATAAGGGTCCAGTTCTTGAACGATGCGTTGTGCGTTGTCAGGATGCTGAGTTGAACGCGTTCCTTATGTCGAGGGTTATCATTACACCAATGAGTCTATGTCTGTGGCTTTTCTTGAAAAGCCCCTCTGTCACTATTTCTAAAGCCTTTTGGATGGCCGATATGGTGGATCTGCCCTTTCTGTAGCCATATTGTTCTTAGCTTAGTGTCTCCGACTGCCGCAGGTTCTCTTCCATCCTTGATACAGTTATGTGCTTCAGTAGCTTGTCGATCGTATTCAGTAAGCAGAGTGGTCTGAACTTTCGGGGGTGTCTTCCTAGGTTTATCCATTAGGATCAGGTTCGCTGTTTTTCATTCTGTGGGGAAAACTCCTCGTTACTGCTAATATTTTTAGGATCTCGGCGGAGACGCCGTCCGGGCCTGGTGCTTTGTTTGGTCTTAGTTTACGGCTTGCGTTGATCAGTTCCTCCTTCGAGATTTCCAGGAAGTCCGGTCCCCTTGTCTCTGCTCTCTCCCATGCGCTGGTTGGTCCCACCGGGAAAAGTTCTTTGGTGACTTGCAAGGATTTATCCATTGTTAGTGGGCTGTAGCTTGTTGCTAGTCTCAGTCTTCGTGTTGCAATTTTGTAGCCTTCTCCCCAGCAGTTTGTGTTGATTTCATCGCATAGGTCTCTCCAGCATTTCGCGTTGTTTTTGGCAATTTTTAGTTGCTTTCTGTGGCTTGAGTAATTGTCCTTGTCCAGCTGCGATCTTACGTTGTCTCTTCGGTTGTTCCGGGTCAGTTTTCTTCTCATAGAGAGGCATGTCTTCCTCAGCTCCGCGATCTCGTCTGACCACCAGTACACGGGGCCCTTATTTTTGTGAGTGGACTTGATCGGCACCGCAGCTGTGTCTGGTAGGCGGGTCTGTTCCACATCCTCGACTGCCTTCTTCAGCTTTTGGATGTTTAACTTCCTGAGGTTCCATCGATACTTGTCCGGTTGTCTGCGTTGGATCTTGGTGTCGCATGTCGCATGAAGTTTCGAAATAGATGTATCTGTGATCACTTGCCGTTTCTTGCTCTAATACCCTCCAGTTTCTGATCTTTGTGCCAATGCGGCCCCTTGTGATTGTCAGGTCTACTATGGAACTGGCGCCTGGCTTTGCGAAAGTAGCTGCATCACCTCTGTTTTGGATTACAAGATTATTGGATGCCATCCACTCTAACATTATATGTATTGCCTCTCCTGTTTGTAGTGTGCATACCCCAGTCAGTTGCCCAGGAGTTAAAGTCACCGGTTATTATAAAGTGTTTATTTGTCTTATCCAGGAGCTCGCCTAGGGATCCTAGAGCAAAGTTGAATTCCTCTATACTTTGACTAGGCGGGAGTTAGCAGTCTGTGATGATGAAATCCCGGAGCTCTATTCACACAAAGCCTGATACTGCTAATACGTCTATGTCTAGCTGGTTGGCTGTAACTATGAGGAGGTCGTGAGCCTCGTAGCATCTGTTCAGGTTCACCTGGAGGAATTTAGTTATCGTTAGTTCCGTGATTTTCTGCCTAGGGACTCTCTGAACTTCGCGCATCTTCCCTGCTCTATGGTCGGCTTTATGGCAGACTGGGCAACTTTCTGAGTTCTTGCAGTCCCTTGCAGAGTGGCCCTCTTCTCCACATTTAAAGCATAGTCTGCACCTATCCGGACCAGTGCATTTTTTTGTGGTGTGACTGTATTCCCAGCATTTTTGGCATATCTCAACGTGTAATCTTCTTTCCAGTATGCGGATCTCGGAGTGGTCTGTTATTATCTTCTGTGCCTCTTGTTTGGGTAGGGTCATCGTTACTGCCTGGGTGTTATTCCTGTCCGGCTCAGTTCACTTAGGCTAAAGTCCGTATTACCCATCTTAAGCTCATGACGTATCGCTGCCGTCAGCTCATCTGTTGTTGTTAATGCCTCCATCCCACTGACGTGGATTGCCTGGTTGTGTGCGTTTACCGTTGAGCCTCTTACCTTCATTTCTGCGTCGCTGTATACCTCTCTTATTTTATGCCCTAATGTCCTTATCGCTGCGTCATCCTTACCCGTTGTGATAATGAACTTTTCATCTTAAGTCTGGCGGATGGATTTAATAATTTAACTTTCTGCCGAGTGCTGCACTTTCCCCTTGACGCCTTCCAGTCCAGTAGATCCTTGAAGGCAACTCCTTTTTGGTCAACGATTAAGGCGAATGTCTCTCTTTCTTTCCTTGTGTTGCCCGCCTTTGCTTTGCCCTTTGTGCCGCTGTCGTGTAGATTACTGTGTTTCCCCCTACTAGCTTTCGGAACACCCCAAGTATCCATTGCCCAGATACCTGGTATAGGGTAGACATTTAGGGCTCCTATGGGTATTACTCAGGTTATATCTTTAACCCCCCGGCCGTGCCCGGGTCCTTGTTTAACTGAACGAGTCGCGATTCGAAGTACCGCCTATCCCCGGAAAGCTGGGCTCAGCGAACTTTCAGCCAGATTTACTGGAATCGTTCGCTGGGTTCCCTGCTTTTTGCGAAGGACAGACAATCCAACTTTCTGGAAAGAGGCTCAGGAACTTTACCCAGAATTCTGGGATTGTTCGAGAGTTCCTCCCTCCTTCCCCTATCGTGAGATGGTAGACACGATAGTTCGGTGGAGGTTAACAAAATTGCACCAGCGAACCAGCCCATCGAAATGTGGGTAGGGATAGTGCGAGTCTCGTTATTCCAAATCGATCTTTATACAGTGGGGATGATCAAATATTGATCACTGCGTATCTTTACACAGTGGTGGAATTGTTTTTGATTACCAGCTTCCATGAAAGATTTCCTACAAGAGCCTCGAATATTAAAATATTGATTACTCTGTATCTTTATACAGTGGCTTATATTTCTTGAGACAAATTACAGTGGTAGAATTGTTTTATATTACTCAATTACACCCTATTACTATCTCTATACAGTGGTTGAATTAATAGTAGGCGCCAAAATTTGTATTATCCCTGGGCGCCGAGAGTTCTAGTGGCCACCCTGATCTTACAATATGGTATTTCCTTGCAATCAATATGTTTTTCACATGACCCTTTTTCTATTATTCCAGATCTGAAAGTTCCATTGACGTATCGGGCGAATATTTCAAATACGGAAATATTCCGAGAAGTATGTCGCTGACTTACTGCGGAAGCGAAACGGAATCGGAAATCTACGCGCCCTACAGTTTCTATGGAAGCGAAACGGAAGTCACCGAAGACGATCACGATTGGATCCAGAACGGCCGCACTCACAAGTTGCGTTCCAGAAAAGGCCGCAGCGTCGTCCACAGGAATTTGGAGGACAACTATGGCGCCGTTGTGGTGGCAAATCACGAAGCTTTGGCTCAAGTTTTAGAAAATGTATTTAATTATAAATTGCAATACCTTGTAATAATTAAAATTGTTTTTATTGTAGATCCAACAAACTACATTTATTCAGCCAGCATTGAGAGGGCTCAAACTTTGCTCCAACCTACGTTTGAGTGATTTTTCCATGAAAACTGGCAACAGTCCTGTAGTAGTTGGTTCAAAAACTTTCCACCAAGCCTTGTGGGGGGCGCAACATGTCACTTTGATGTTCAACACCGGCATAAGTACTTCTAGTACTTTGAATTTAGGTACTTTCACTTTAAATTCGGTTACTGATTTTAGTGACTTGGTTCCAAGTGAATATTGTTCCTTAGCAAAAAAACAGAGTCAAGGTATTTATTAATGATGGTTTATTGAAAAATAGTTCACACATTGTTTTTTAGCAACAATTTCTGTTCTTCCTTGGCTCCAGCTTCACACCATAGAGTCCTACAGTGACTTCCTCAAAACCAAACCCAACCAAGACGAAATCTGGCGAGACGGTTTCTTTGTAATGCTTCAGCTAGTCAACGCCTTGAAAATGCTTCAAGCGCAAGGTATCGAAGAGTTACCTCTGAGCCTCAACAGCTTCATTCTATCTAGAGAAATGGATAGAGAAACTCACCACAGACTGTGCATAATGCAAGGCTCGTTGTCCTCGGAAATCAGCGCTCTAACTTCGCCAGAAGAAAAATACGGAACTTTATGCATGTGTGCGGCCAGAGCTATCTCTTTGCTACAGCCCAGCTCTAAGACTACGGCTTTGATACAATCTTTGCTCAGCAACGAAAGATCAGTTTCGTTGACGCAAGTCAAAGCGGTGCTGGAGTTTAGTCTTTGGGGACCCTCTGACGTGTCTCTGGGAAGTACCGTTAGAGAGCGCGAACTCACATTGCAAAGGTAAGAAGTTGATTTCATTTGACTTTATTGGTTGTTGACATTTTTCTTCTTCCGTAGATGGCTGGATTTGCAACGAGCCACAGTTCTTCACGGGCTGGTTTGTGCCCGAGTGCAGTTGACAGTTTATGAAGAGTGTCATTTGTTGTTCTTAGTGAGGAGCAACGCTAGGATGATGAGCGATGCTTCTATGTTGATTGAGTCGAATAATTTGAAGTATTCGCATTCTAGTAGTAAAGCATAGAATGTGCTATGTAGAATGACAATATTCAGATTTGGAAAGTGCAATAATTGTCAGAGAATTTTGAACTATGAACTTTAGTGTGGTTTTTATTAAGCTAATAGACTTTCCAAAGTCAAATAAATGCCTTGGTGTCTCACAAATCAACCAATCACAGCAGTTATACATTTGACAAAATAATGTTACCTTAATGATTGCTAAGTTTATCAAATGAAAAATTTCATGGCCTATTATTGCTTACTAAATTGATTTTACTCATTTATTGTAAAATTTTATAATTTTTGTAAATATTTTTGAAGCATCTAGCATTTGAAACTGCCATTAGTTATGTTTATATTATTATTTTTTTTGTATGTTTTTATTTATATAGATTTTAATTGTATATTATAATAAATATTTTTTAAAATGCTTAAAATTGAGATTTGTTGCTGCAATTCTAAACAATTTTCATCAATTCCCAATAAAGCTTCGGGAAATAAATAAAATTCTTGTATCAACATTTGATGATTTTATTCAAATCAATTTCTTTAACAGTCACTATAATCTAATAGCGTTTACAATAATTACAATTATCTAAAAAATAACCAACTAAAAATTGTTTCTTTTTTCATAATAATAAATTATGTACAATTTTCATCATGAATAGGGTTTATTTTTTTCTACAGGAACATTCAACACTGTACAGAAATTTTAAAATTGTTTTTCTATTCCCGAATTTAATGTTCGATTTGTACTAAGGAAATTCATTAGAAAAATCATCAGTAAATTCGGAATTTTGGTACTGCAATTTTGAATAGTCCTACACTTAAGTTATAAGACATAAATTCAAACAAATGTATTTGAATATTAAAAAATCTTTCAATTTATATTCTTTGGAAAATAAGTCAATCAACTATAGAAAAGTTACTGTGCACAAGAAAAATATCCTAAAGAGAAACACTTTCTAAGTTCTAATTGAATAACAAAACATAATATTAATTTGAATTCATAATCGTCAATTTTTCGTTCTAAAAGAGGGGACAAAAGAAAAACAACAAGTAAAAAGGTAAAACTAAAAAATGATAATATTAATAAATAATGTTGCACCTAGAAAAATAATAAATCTGTCACTATCGTGTCTTTTAACATCACATTTGCTATCTACGACATAAATAAACTATAAAGTAAAAAGACTTTTTAATCACATTTAAAAAATAAACTGTTTTTTTTTCTTTTTGTTTTTTTTTTTAAGTTAATTGTGTAAATGTGTTCAGCTAGGATTTATTGTCACCACCTGTAAGAAAAAAGAACAAAAATTAACAAAAATTAAAAACAAATTTTAGGGTTACCAGTTGACCTATAATGAGTTTTGTGGGCGCGTCGGGGTTACAAGCTGAAACTTGCACAAAATTAAGGTTTTATTATGTTAATTCAAAATCCCAAGGTAATACAAAATCTGAACGGGCAAAAGGGCAGTATATTCAAAAATTGAGATTATTGCATGAACGTAGAGAAAAGTAATTTATGTCTGTTCTCATATAAAATTTATCTATATTTTTTTACAAATTATATTTTTATTATTGCTTGAAATAAGCCGAATACATCGACCTTAGAGGTAAATATCTCGAAATGAAGGGAAAGATTTTTAAGGACTATTCACACACTTCAGTTCAGTATCAGTGGCAGTGAAAAATAAAATATCGTTGCCTAGTCTCAAATGAACCTGTTTAGACAAGTCTGGCGCAGTGACGTTTTTTACGTCAGTACTGCCTCAGTGTCAGTTCCGTGTTTTTTATTAAAGTCGGCAACGATATTTTGTGTATTTCACTGACGGAAATCTATTGGAATTTGCGTTTGATCCCTGAATTCTGACATTTCACTGAAAGCATGATACGGATTACAGACGGATGTGTGTGAATTGTCACCACTGATGAAGCACGGATAGCACTGATACTGAACTGACGCAGCACTGATACGGAACTGATGTGTGTGAATAGTCCTTTAATCTTGCAAAAAGTTTGCTTCATGTATCTAAAATATATATGTGCAAGAATAATTTTTTTTGTCTCAAATTTTAAGGGAAATATAGAATTAAATATAAAAAAAGTAATTTTCTTCTAGCCGCGAGAGCCCGGTCTCCCGCTGCACCAGTAATCTTCTATCTCACTTTTCTTTGTAGCTCCCTTTCTCTCTCACCAATTGTACAATACAATAAACCCTTTCACGTATTAAATACTTTTGAATTCTGATTTCAAAATATTCAAATCTCAATTGCTGAGTAACCGTTGAGCAAATTGCAATAAAACTTTTAGCATTTATAGCTCTCTTTTAGCATTTATAGCCCTTATTAAGCTCTAAATATTTCCAGATTCATAGTTTTCGAGCAAATTGAGTTTGAAGTTTTTGACAAAATTTGGACTAGAAGTCAACTTTGAGGCTCAATTGCTCAAAAACCATTTGAGCTATCAAACTTAATTTTATACAGATTTATAGAGAATTTAATGCTCTTTCCAATGGTATATAATTTCTTTCAATTTGCTCAAAATTTACCAAAGATATGGGCAATTGTTCATGCCCATGTCAGGATTTTGAAAATTCTCCAGAGCCAAAAATAGGATTTTCTTTTTATTTTTGTGTCTGCTTAAAATGGCCATTTGGAATTGATATCAGGGTTGCTTTCCACTAATTTTGACCCGCTCTATCGATTCATAAAGTCAAAATTGAGCAATACTAAAAAATTAAAAAATCGAAATTTTCATAAGGGTACATCCTTTGAATTCTGATTTCAAAATATTCAAACCTCAATTGCTCGATAACCGTTGAGCAAATTGCATTAAAATTTACAGAATTTGTAGCTTTTATTAACTTCTAAATGGTCTGTAATTTACAATATTTCCAGATTCATAGTTTTTGAGCAAATTGAATTTGAAGTTTTTGACAAAATTTGGACTGAAAGGCAACTTAGAGGCTCAATTGCTCAAAAACCATTTGAGCTATCAAACTCAATTTTACACGGATTTATAGAGAATTTAATGCTCTTTCCAATGGTATATAATTTCTTTCAATTTGCTCAAAATTTACCAAAGATATGGGCAATTATTCATGACCATGTCAAGATTGTGAAAATTCAGAGCCAAAAATAGGATTTTCTTTTTATTTTTGTGTCTGCTTAACATGGCCATTTGGAATTGATATCAGGGTTGTTTTCCCTTAATTTTGACCCGCTCTATCGATTCATAAAGTCAAAATTGAGCAATACTAAAAAATAAAAAAATCGAATTTTTCAAAAGGGTACATCCTTTGAATTCTGATTTCAAAATATTCAAACCTCAATTGCTCGATAACCGTTGAGCAAATTGCATTAAAATTTACAGAATTTGTAGCTTTTATTAACTTCTAAATGGTCTGTAATTTACAATATTTCCAGATTCATAGTTTTTGAGCAAATTGAGTTTGAAGTTTTTGACAAAATTTGGACTAGAAGTCAACTTTGAGGCTCAATTGCACAAAAACCATCTGAGCTATCGAACTCAATTTTGCACAGATTTATGGAGAATTTAATGCTCTTTTCAATGATGTATAATTCATTTCAATTTACTAAAGATATGGGCAATTATTCATTACCATGTCAAGATTTTCAAAATTTTCCAGAGCCAAAAATAGGATTTTCTCTTTATTTTTGTTTCTGCTTAAAATGGGCATTTGGAATTGATATTAGGGTTGTTTTCCACTAATTTTGACCCGCTCTTCCGATTAATCTACCATTACGAAATGTATGAGAACAGGCATAAATTAATATTCTATACGTTCATGCAATAATCTCAATTTTTAAATATAGTACCCTTCTGCCCGTTCTGATTTTGTATTACCTTGGGATTTTGAATTAACATAATAAAACCTCCATTCTGAGAAAATTTCAGCTTGTAACTCCGACACGCCCACAAAAGTCAAAATATATTATAAGGAGCACTCTACGAATACCTACTCAGAACTAAAGATTTTTTGATTGAAGATGATGAGATAAATGATATTTTTTCATCGTTGCCAGTTTTCCTCCTCTACATTATGGCATTATCAAAGGAGATGGCACAAATAACATGGGCGGTAGCCACCGGCTAAATTAGTATGTTATAGAGGATGTCTTACTGAACAATGTTTAAATGGAACAAATTTTTCGTAAAGCCACAAATCGCAATTGAAGTTCAGAAATCCGTAATATCGCTTTAATAATTATAGAGAACACAGAGGTTCAGAGGCAACGATTTTGGAGTAAGTTGTTATATTTACTGGTTTTCTTTTACCAGATTAGTTCTAGATGCATTACCTTATTACTTGATTTATTTGTGGGTTAATATTCAACCCCAGAAAGCTTTAAACTCATTGAACTTGATACAAACAAGGTTGAGAAATGTGGAGAGCAATCTATTATTGAATTTCAACGAGGTTCAATTCGAGCTGGAGGATCAATCAAGAAGATTTAGATAATTCCTTTGAATCAAAATATTATGCTATTGTTGCTGAAGCAAAGGACTTCGTATATTCGTTTACTAATAATCGGCAGTCAAGGTCTAATCAGAATGCGGCATCATCATCTAAATTAAATAATGTCAAATTGCCAACTATCGATTTGCCCAAGTTTTCAGGATCATACGAAAGATGGCTGGAGTTCAAAGAATTATTCATTTCCTTAAAACATAACATTGACCAACTAGATCAAGGGCAAAAATTACACTATTTACGTTCATCTTTATCGTGGTCAGCTGTTCAATGTATACAAAGTATCGAGATTTCAGGTTCTAACTAAGCATGGAGTGTTTTATATCAAATATTTGTATGAGATTCTAACAGTTCTCTGACAGTATGAGATCCTAACAGTTCTTCGAAAGTTTTTGTACCAATATGACACGCATAGAATGTATTTTGAATTCAAGATCTTTAACACAAAATTGTCAAGTGATCCCACAGGTTTAGACGCATTAACACCATCTTTGTTATATTGACCCAAATTCTTCCCTAATTTCTTAGAATTTATGGGCTCCTGTCGCTATAAATTCTTCACCCATAATATTATATTTGGACTCAATCTGCCTCTATTTTGTATCCTAGTTAACTTCCTAATCTTTTGATAGAGTAATAAGGCATTTTCAACCTTTGTATGTAATATTATTACCTTATACCTGCCTTCACAAGAAAAGCTAATAGTTTGATAATCATTATAGAATTCCTGGTAACCCTAATTATCCAAATTGAATTGTCAAAAACCATAACTACTTACAAGTATCATCTGTGGAATGAATACTACCTTCCTCTGCTCCATCTTGTTCGTCTTTTTTCTCATTATTATTCCCTACTTCCAAGCTATTCTGAGCCAGCCCCAATGCCACCTGAAACCAGAAATTTTCCTCAGCTTAAGCACACAATTATGTACAACAATATTACCTCTAGATCTTCTAAAATATCCGTTTCTTTGGAATCGATAAGCGAAAACCTATGATGCAAAGCCATCAAGTGGGCAAACGTCTGGTTCAAATGCGAATGCAGCCCCAAAGGGACCACCTCTTTAAAATGCGCCGCGTACAAGTGAGCCACGACGTGGTACAAAAGCCTGACGATTTTCCTTATGATCGATTCGAACGAAACGGGAAATTCGTTTGCGTATTTCGTAGGGAAAATCGTCTCGTCCGTTATGGTTTTTTGTATGAACGTCATGACGTAGTCGATGTATTGAGGCGCGGCCACTTTGGTTTTTTTGCCTTTTTCGTCGAACCATAAGTACGTACGTTGACCTGGACCGGTCATGTCTGGACACGTGGTTGCTGTACAAAATTCGCTAATCGTTCCGTAGACTAAGTTTACGTGATCAAATAGAGACATAGCTGGAACAAACAAAATTGAATATAAATTATTCATACACACACTTTGACCCTTTAATTATTCAGGGTTTTATTGTTTTGTCTCTGAAATATTTGAGCAAAGTTGATAATGAAACTACGCCCTGAAAAGATGCTTTAAGTTACCAACATCCTGTAATGGATAATAATGGAAAATCAACCTATAGCTCTTAGAAATAAATCCAAAACTTTGAGGTTCATAGAATATTTTTATTTTTCAGTCGTCACTTACTATGTGATGCAAGCCACTCATTGTAGTCCAGCCCGGCAGGAAGATCCACCAGAAGTTTAATGTCCATTTCTGGTAGTTTCCGTTCCAGTACTGTAGCCTCAAGGTATAATTTCGAGTCAGCCGATGCCGAAGAGTCTGCTCCTTCTTTTTCTTTACGTTTAGTCTTCCTGTAACAGACAAAATTGAAATTATACTAATTATTATTTTAGCTAGAACACAACACAACTTTATTAATTTCAGTCCAATCCTAACGTAATTAGGCTCAAATTAAAGTCAATTAAACCCTCTACAAACTTCTAATTGATAGTTTCAATGCAGCTTCAATATTTTCGCAGCTGTGATGCTTGACAGTCTTTTAACATTGATAATCACTGTCCCCCTTCTATGGCTAACTTTTTGTTTGGAATTGTATGTCAAATTTACGTAAAATCATTGTATTATTGTAAAGATTAAATAAAAATCACGTTCGTTTTACTTTAATCCCCCCATAGTTACTGGTAATCTGAGTAATCTGATTAAGGGCCGGTTTATTCACTTTCTGAACTGTCAGGTATGCAGACTAACGGATAAAAACGCAATCTGTAATTCCATTAGTCAGCCAGTTAACCGCCCACCAGCAAGTTTATCTGAAAATGAATAAAAAGGGCCTAAACTGATAAATCAACTCGCTGTTGAGTGAAATTTTGAGAACTTCTGCTATTAGGAGCCAGATTTTTATATTGCAAAATGTGTTCTTAATTAAATTTACTCAACTGTTAACCTTTGGTCAAGACAAATGTGTATGTAGATTATCAATGTCTTGTGGTTATACCACCACTGTTTGTGAAACTGGCCTTTATTTTTTTAGAATTGAACTAGTAAATTTGGAGAACCTCTGTTTCAAGAGCCAGATTTCTCTATGGCTAACTTAAGTTTCAATATCTGCTCTTAATAAAGCTTACTCAACTGTTAACCTTCAGTATTAAGACAAATGTGTTTAAAGATCAGTGAAATTGGCCTTTACTTTTTTGTATAGAATTTAACTAATACATTTTGGTAATCTCTGCTTTTAAGGGCCAGACTTTTATATGTAATTAACTTATATTGCAAAATCTGCTCTTGAAAAATGCACTCAACTTTTAACCTTCCGTTAAGATAGTTGTGTGCATTAGAAATTACTGTTAGGGTTAGTGCTGTTTGTGAAACTAACCCTTAGCTTATTTGATAGAATTAGATTAATCGTTTGTTAAATTCATAGGTCTGTTTCTGCAGAAATCACAAACCAGTCAGAGCGAATTTCATTGGTTGAAAACAGTCAGAAAACTAGTTTCAACCAATGAAATTCACTCTGACTGGTTTGTGATTTCTGCAGAAACAGACCTATTGTTAGTTAACAAAAACTTATTCCGATTAGTAAATTTTATGTGCATTGAGTGTATTTCTGTCTCTTGTTCTCAGCCTGCAATAGAAAAAGATATATTTTCTTTGCACTAATTTTACCAATCGAGTCGGAAACGCCATTAGAATGTGCTACACAATAACAATAGCATATTGAAATGGCCACAATCTAAGGTTTTTGTTGACATAAGGAATTAAGAAACGATTGGTCTAAGGGCCGTTATATTGATTATTTGATAGCTGGTTGTTAGTTAACAATAACCTTAGTACATATTATGTGCTACACAATAAGCATGTCATATTAACCTTGACACATTCTAGGGTATTTGTTAACTAACAAAGACTTTAAGGCTAGATTCATCCACTAATTTTCAATAATTTCTCTTTTATTTTTATTTGTTTGGGCCAGATTTTCACACATTCAATTACCTGTAAAGCTATTGTTAGCATGAATGATTGTTTTTTTAATGGGATTAAACTGATAGATAAAGTGGCTCTTAAGTAAATTTTGAGAACCTCCACTCTTTAAGGCAAGATTTTTAGGTGTAACTTTATATTGCAAATTCTACTCTTAAACAATTAATTCAACTGTTAACCTTCAGTTATAAAACAAATATCAGGCCAGATTTTCATATGTAACTTATATTGCAAAATTTGTTCTTAAAAAAAATCAATCAATTTTTAACCTTCAGTTAAGACAAATGTGTAGGCATTGATAACAAGAAGGGCAAGCAGAAGGATATTTTTTTTTTTCTTAAATATCAATCTTTTTTTCTATCCGCTTGCAAAATTTCAATACAATCTACAAAGCATTTTCCTCAAAAAAAAAAAATTGAACATCCCTCAATGTCATTTTTTGAAATTTGATCTTTTGCCAATCAACACACATTTTGCCTAAAACGTCCCCTAATGTCGTTTTTCTGAAAATCCAACTCAAACAATTTCCTTTGTAAGAACAAAAACCTGTTTATATGAGTAATAATGATTACTAATTACTAAGAAAACCTATACAATACGTGCCTTGATAAAAATATAGGTAGACCAATTAAAAACCGTAAACAATGAACGATTAATTCATTAAGATGATAAAATATAACTTTTGCAAAACAATATTTTCTGAGTCATTATTCATAATTAATTTTATTATTTCACATTTAAAAAAAGAGTCAGGGCCTTAGTAGGGTACATCGAAGGAAACTTCTTAAATATCATGAAACTAAAGTTGTTGCACTTATGAGAAATTACAAATAAATACCTGCAAAAACAAGTAGTCAAAGACCGTTCATCGATAACCAGCATTTTACTATTATTAATTTTCGATTTGTTACTTATGGCCCTAGTGAGCCACATTACTCTGAAATTAAAAAACTACACCGAGTAAGTTATGTGGCGCCAATTCAGCACTGAAACAAACAACAAAAAAAAACGTCTCGGAACGAAATTGGTAAATAAAAATTAGAGTTAATTAGAGGGCAAAGGAGAGAGAGAGAAGCCCGACATGAATAATACCTATGGCTGCTTGTTATATTGGATTTTGTGTTTTCGCGTAGGTCGTCCCCTGATTTTCCAATAAGACTACGTTGCAATTTTCGCCTCTCGTAAAGGAAAATTGCTAGGATTATAGAGGCATATGATTTTGATTTGGTTTGAAGCGAAAAATAGCATTTTCCATGTTTGAACTCGAGTATCTTTGTCCAATAAGGAGGAAAACATCTACATTTTATTCAAAATTGGCGCATTTGCAAGGAAATAGTACACTTTCAATGAAATGAATGTTTTCAAAAATAAATGAAAACCATTTTTTCCATCTACCAATTGAGAAACATTTTAGAGAATATGTCTAAAATCCGATTTTTTTTTTCACATGTAATAACAGCTGTATTCTTTTAAAATCACTTTTGAACCCTATAGTTCCTTGTAAAGTTTAATAACTGATTATTCTATAACCTTTAGTGAGCTGGAAGGGGTTCAGCATCATTTTAGGCTTCAAATTCTGAAAAAAGCTAATTTTTTGAAATTCCATAACTGGGATTTTGAGTATTTTGTGTATGAGCAAACCTGCAATCTGCCCAAAAGACTTCACAATATTTTTTTTCAAAGCAGAACATTAGACAGTAGCTGAACGTTTTCCGGCATATGTAAAGGTTCTATAACTTATAAAACAATGACATAAAAGAATTGAATAATGCTGATACGGCAAATAACGTAAGTCATCAACAATTTTGTTTTTCTTAAATCTGTGTCGATCACTTTCACGTGTATTCCAGAAAGACTATATGGAAAGCATAGAAAATTAAATGCATGACAGACAAGATTTCTGGAACTATGTAAATTCAAAACAAAAAGTGGTATATTGTATATCCCAAATGCATGTCCTTTGAAACCCACAAAACTGACAGTCCCCAAGAGGTTACAGAATTATTAAAAAAGCATTCTTCATTGCTATACTCAGAATTTCTTTGAAGAAGAAATCAGTAATGGGTCCAGATGGATTGCCAGTTTGTTTTTTTCTCGGTTTTTTTTTGCAAGATTGTAGATATGTCTCGGCTGAGATTCTTTGTAAAATTTTTAACTTATCACTTAGTTTGAGGGTGTTTCCATCTGCCTGGAAAAATTTGTATGTTACACCTATCTTCAAAGATGGGAATAGAGAAAACTGACATAAAAATTATAGAGCAATCTCTCAAAAAATTCTATAATAGCAAAAATGTTTGAGTCACTGGTAACAGAAAATCAAATCAAACATATAAGGTTGATACAATCTATAATGATTTCTCGAAGACAGGATCCTTCTGGCAAAACTGTATGCATTAGGCATACATGGGCCTCTTTTCTCTTGGTTTGAAAGCAATTTAAAGGAAAGAAGGCAAACAAATTACATCTCATCTGAAAAGGATTTTAGGAAGTTCAGGCATTAAAATGTTCCGGTAAATTTTGTATTAAAATTTAGAAATTGTTATGTAAAATATATGTTAATTTAATAAAATTCTAAATACAAAACTAGAAACCAATAATAATAAACCTGAGGAGCTGCAGAATATGCTCCTAGGTAAGTTTCCTGATATTATTTGCGAGCCTCACGAATCCAAATATCCAGATAAATATGCTTCACTTAAGGTGTCAAGAAAACTTCAAAGATGCTTGGAATAGAAATGTCTGGCTTGTTGGGTTAATTGTTTCAAAGTTTTTTGTCAAAAGGAGGACTTAGCCAATAATAGAACGCCAGGCCGATCCACAATCCCAGACACAACAATAACAGGGCATGGATGTGAAATTAATATTTATTACCAGAATGTAAGGGGAGGCTCAGGACTAAAACTGAAGAGTTGTATAATAATGTCTTGTGTCAAGACTATGACCGTATACTATTAACTAAAACTTGGTTGAATCAAAGTTTTCAGGATGCTGAACAGGTATAATGTGATACGTAGAGATAGGATGAATGATCTCACTAGAGGTGTAGAAGTTATGATTGCTTTGTCAAAGGCTGAGATTATTAAGGCTGACCGTGATATAGTCGATATAGAGTACATTTTGTAAAGCGTAGGTTTAAAAATGTTATCCTATATTTATGTTGTGTCTATATTCTGCCAAATCAAAATGCTGATATTTATGATCGATACATTTTTTGAATATCTGTCAGAAATTTTACGTGATAATAGTAAAATCAAAGGGTAAACCACTATCCCAGAATTTGTGCAAACAATTCCTCAATGGGGAATTTTTTACGCAAAATTCCTCAAAATTCCTGCAAATTCCTTCAAATTACCCACAAATTCCACTAGATACCCTATCACAAATTCCTCCAAATACCCCACCACAAATATAATATAGTATGATACCCAGAATAATACACGTCATGTAGCTACTTTTCAAACAACTTAGTTGTATATTGTTTCACAATATTGAGGCTAGGTACATTGTTTCTTTTTATTTTAAATGGACCTTTTCCTAAAAGTTGAACAAGTTTTCAAGACCGTAAACAATAAATTTAATCTGAACCTCAGCAAATGAATGTGTCTAATGCTTTTTTCAATAAATTGGTAATAAGTAAACCCTTCTTTCAACGTTCAGCCTTTTTCCCATAATATGATGCTAGGATACATACTCGGATTTGGATACAGATAAACTTGTATCAACTTCAAGTAGCTTGAAGTTCTTTTGCACTCAGGGTCATTTTTAAGGAGATTTTGTACCTCTTCTGAAATCATAATCAATGCGCTTTTAAAGTTTATTCGATCTTCTGAAACAATGTCAGAACTAACTTATAAATGTTCACTTTTATTATGTTTTTCAATTATCCAATTATTCAATTCAATTCAAATTTTTCCAGTAGAAAATCACAACATGAGGAATCTTGAACATCAACCTACAATAACTGAATTAATTGAAAATACAGTCTCACACATTTCAAAATCAGTCTCACACATTTCAAAATTTTCCTGGAAAACTAATGAAAGGAAAAATTTGAAACTTTTTGTATGTAAAGAGGAAGATGAGAAGCTCATTTTCCCAAAATTTCAAATTTTTCCAGTGGAAAATAACAACATGAAGAATCTTGGAAATCAACCTGTCAAAAACTGAATTAGTTGATAATGCCGTCTCACATATTTCCAACTTTTCCTGAAAAACTAGTGAAAGGAAAAATTTGAAAATTTTTGCAAGGGAAGAGGAAGGTTAGTAGCTCATTTTCCCAAAATTTCAAATTTTTCAAGTAGATAATAACAACATGAGGAATCTTGGAAATCAACCTACAATAACTGAATTAATTGAAAATACTGTCTCACACAATTCAAAGTTTTCCTGGAAAACTAGTGGAGGAAAAATTTAAACTTTTTGCATGTACCTAAAGAGGAAGGTGAGAAGCTCATTTTCCCAAAATTTCAAATTTCTCCAGTGGAAAACAACAACATGAAGAATCTTGGAAATGAACCTCCAATAACTGAATTAATTGAAAATACAGTCTCACATATTTCAATGTTTTCCTGGAAAACTAGTGAAGGCAAAAATTTGAATCTTTTTGCATGTGAAGAGTAGAAAGGTTAAAGGCTCATTTTCCCAAAATTTCAAATTTTTCCAGTAGAAAATAACAACATGAGGATATTGGAAATCAACCTACAATAACTGAATTAATTGAAAATACACTCTCACACATTTCGAAGTTTTCCTGGAAAACTAGTGAACGGAAAAATTTGAAAGAAGCTCATTTTCCCAAAATTCAGTCTACAAAAACATTATTGTTTTGAATTTTTTAAATTTGGACCTGTAAATCATGAAGTGTAATTTTGAGAGGATTTCTTTATTGAAAATTAATGTACAACGTTCAACACAAAACTAGAGTTTTTTTTTTTATTTCCATTTATTAGTGTTTCTTATAATAAGAAAGTGAACCTCAGTGACATCATGACTCTACAATTTCCTTCAAATTCCTCAAAAATCCCTCACAAATTCCTCTAAATTCCCCATGAATTTATCCAAATTTTCTATAAATTCTCCAAATTTTCATAAATTCCGATGAGTTCCTTCAAATTCCCCATAAATTTCCCACATTTTTGGCAAAGAATTCCTAGGTGGTTTGCCCCTTGAGTAGGGGATTTTAACATACCTGATATTGAAGCCAGTGGATGTGATAAATCCTGTGCTTTACGTAATTTTATTTGTATAAAAAACTTGTGGCAGTACCTATAATAAAATCCTAAATATTAAGGACAGGAAACTTGATCTTGTATTGTGCAATATGGAAATTTCTCAGCTAGAAAAATGTGAAGCCCCTTTAAAATCTGAGGACTCTTATCATCCTTCCTTGTGTATGTTCACACAAGTGGAATATCAAAGGGATGGTGATGTTAATACTATAGTACCTTCTTATAAGTATGAATATGCAAATGGTAACTTTGTGGGTCTGTATAATGCTATTAAAGAAATTAACTGGCATGATCTTTTTACAAATTCTGATCCAAACATATGGCTAGACCTATTCTATGACAATATATAATTGCTTGGATAATATTATAGTACCAAAAAAATCAGTTTCTAAACATAGTAAACATTTTAAATATCCACAATGGTTGTCAATCGATTTGGTGAGAAACATCAAGCATTAAAATAGGTTACATAACCGAATGAAGCGTAGCAAGGCTAGTTTATGTCTTTTTGATGAGCACAGGAGAGTTAGATCCATTATTAAAAAAAAAATTGATAACTAGTTTTCTGAGTATATAAAAAATATAAGATTGGATCCTAACAACTTTTGGAAGTTTGTAAATTCTAGATCTACGAAACCTGGTATACCAGGATGTGTTACTTATAATGGTTCGACTATAGAGGAGCCAGATCAAATTTCAGAAGCCTTTGCGCATTACTGTGCATCAGTTTATGAATCTCAATCACCCACTTGTTCTTATTTTGATATGGAAAATCATTTACAATGGGGTAACTTTTCATTCTCATCCATATCTGAGAATACAGTCAAAGATGTCACAAAAAAATTAAAGCCCAAAAAATCTACAGGTGGAGATAGTATTCCCCCTTCTTTCTATAAGGGAT